TTGTTTAAATTAAATTATTAAACAAGAATTTCATTTTACTTTGAATTTCGTTTTATTTCGTAAGATTAAATTTAAAATTGTGAATATTCACGTCATATCCGAAAATGTTTAAAAATTTAAAAACTTAATATCTACGGGTTTTTTTTAAATATCGTTTTCCTAGTTTCGCGAAAATAGCTTTATCTTCACTCAAATTAACGTAATAAAGTTTGAGATAAACGGCGACGATGAAGGGAGAGGAAGGTGGTTAACTTCTTTATTATAATCGGAAATTACTCGGCGTGACGAAAAGATTGCTTGCGGCCGATAAGGGAGAACTCGATTGAGAGAGAGAGAGAGAGAGAGAGAGAGAGAGAGAGAGAGAGAGAGAAAGAAGGAGGGAAAGTTAGAATATTGGAGAGTACGAAAGCAGCGGCAATTATCGAGCGCGTCATTGTAATTGCATCGACGGTCGGGAGTCGAGATTAGATTCGGTGTTCAGGAACCGATGGTTTCCTCATTCTATCTGTCTCTTTCTCTTTCTATCTTGTACAGTCTAGATTACGCTAATTGGTAGGTCACTGGTGAATATTAATTATCATTTGACTGCAGAATCGTGCAGCTACATCGTGCGAGCTATCGCATTCTCGTACTGTTCGATAAGCCCCGGCCGATTTCCCTCACAAATTTCTATGCAAATAGCATAGAACATGTCAATTGCTAACAAAAAGGGTTGAAATTCGACCCTTTTAAACTACATTCTTCTGGACATAAAACACTCGCATCCTCTCTTCCCAACAAATATATTTGAAAAGGATTCACCTCGGGATTCGCATAAAAAGACTTGTAGGAATTTAATAATTTTTCCTACATTTGCTTATTTTTTAAATCCTTTTTATTTCTTAAATATTTGATAAACGTTTCAAAATTATTATATCGGTTCGTCTTTTTATTATAATTTTATTATTACTGCTTTTGTTGCATGTATTACGGTTTTATTAAATTTTTTAATAATGATAATGATAAATGCAGTATAAAGATTACGCGATGAAGTCTTTTTGTGTAATGATATTTTTAGGTTATTAATATCTCACAGTTTTTCTTTAATATAAATTATTATTTTACACAGGATATGTAAATATTATATATACATGTAAGTTTATATTAATATATATAAAAAAAAGTACTTTAGGACGACCTACATGAAATAGAATTTTATAATTTTATGTATATTATTTTCTTTTCACATACATAAACTTTTTCTGTGTATTTAAAATTACATCTTTATAAAATTACACTCATACTTAAAATTCAATTGCGCAAAGTGATTTTTAATTCTTCTACTGTTTGCCGTTTCACTTATTTCACTTATATTTAACTCGCGTATTTATGGCGTAAACCGCGTTTATTGCTTCATCTATCCAATCGCCGTCCTCCGATACGAGTTACATTTAATGTGAATGCCATTTCACATGAACGATCGATAACGCAAATTTTGTACGCGTTGGTGTACGTTTATAATGCTATGCACGGAGGAGAAATGGAGTGAATCCGTTGCTGTGCGCCTGCATCCATGTTACACAGAAGATTTGGCTCGCGAATTCACTCGTAATTTCGGCAATTCTGTCAATCTGGTGTTGGCTGGTCGCGGCTAAGCGGAATTAACGAGCGATTTGCCCGCGTTGATACAACATGTCGAAAAAGGAAAGGACGGAGAAATATAAAACGCGTCGCGCACACGTACGTGATCACGATAAAACCGAATTTCAACTGTGCGCATTTGTCATCAAGAAGTTTATTGCTCCACGATGGTAATTTGATATCGCGAAGTACCTCTATCGACGATGTTTTTTCCTCCAATGCAACGCGAACATGATTTACGTGTCTACATATAAATGTCTCGGCTTTTTTCATTTTCTTTAAATATATTTGATACAATTACAAAGATATGCAGGGTACATGTATTTGAAAAATTTCATTTTATTACATGACCAAGCCTTTCTAATATTTATTTAATTCCAACAAATTCTATAATGATCCATGGATTAGATTCTACAAAATTGTGAAATGCACATCACCATTGTAAAAATACCAATCGCAATCTGCCGATTACTGCGCTATACCCAGTGAGAAATGGCAATGGAACTGACATCGAATTGATGTCGATTCGACGTTGAAATCATTAAATTGACGTCAAATCGACGTCGATTCGACATCGATTCCGTTGTCATTTCTCACTGGGTAGGTAGCAATGGGAGGAGCTCTATTAATACAAGATTCAGCCGCATACAAGTAACAAGTAAAAATACAAGTAACCTTCCTCTTCAATATGTGTTTTAATATTAATTTCTCACAAAACCGATGTTATGTTTGAAACACTGAAAATGACCCCGCGTGAGGTAAAAACGTTTGTCTTTTTTAAATTTTGTTATTAAATGTATTGTTTGGCTCGTAGCTGTTGTTTGTACATTTGATTTTTAATCACTTGAGCCATTTCCTTATACTTTTAATTTTATACAAAATTTAAAAGGGAATAAAATCTAAAAATAAAACACAGCGGATAGGTGGAGTGTTGATAGTACCTCAACACGTTCAATGCTCTAGAGCCTTTGGGTGACTCCAAAAACTTGTACGTAAGAAATCGCGATTGAGGAAAGGGGAGACCCCATGGATGGTAATTCAAATAATAACATTGTCAATAAATTTTGTATTTGAAATACAAAATACTTTCAATCTTTCGTTGTTATTACTGAAATACAAAATACTTTTATATCGTATGAAATACAAAATAGATACAAAATATTTGCATGTGCTTCGTTGAAATGCATAATACAAGATACAATTGTCTTACAAATACCCAGACAACATTTATGTTGCATAAGATAGATATCTTTTTAGATAAAGACGTCTTTTAGATGTCTTATGTCTAAAAGATGTCTAAAAGACGTCATTTAGATATCTTATGCAACTTGCATATTATCTGGGTACTGTTTTTTAAATAAAAGTATTTCAAATACATGCCCAGTTCTGGATATATGGCACTGCACTTGTCACTGCGCACACCACGATTAATCTAACATTATTATCTACGATTTTTGTGGTTCAAATATCAAAGATATAATCGAATCCATGCATATATCCACAGGAGACTAATCGACTCTTTTTTCCTCTTTTTTAAATCTATTTCTTATCGATGAAATTAAAGTGCACACACACACACAATTGTATTAGCGCGTAACTTTCATTTCAACGTTTGAATGTATGTGAACTTTAAACGCTAATCAGTCAAATTGTATGATTTTCCCATCGCGTTTACTTGTCGTGAAATCGAATACACGTCAATCGTGAAATCAAACATCGATTGGGATGCAGTGAATTATTACGAATCGCTGTTTAAGCCCGCCACAGTTAATCGAATTGATGTAATTATATCTTGTTTGTTAACAGGAAAGAATGGAAAAGAAAATTATGAAAGCAATATAAAAATATTGTTACGGTTGCTATATGTATAATACGTTTGTATATGTGATATCGGGAAATTCAGTTTCCTGGGAGGAAATTCAGTGGCATAAAATGAATTTGTTTGCGCGAAGAGGCATTTTAATAGCCCTCTCCGCTCCGCCGTGCCTCCTCTTTATTATCAATCAGACAAAGTAAAATAATGTTCGTATATCATTGAGAGAGTCAATAGCCTCTCGACGAATTGCAAACGTATTCTATTTAATTGGTCTGCGATTCATCGGAAGCGCGTGGGCGTTTGTTGGGAAATAAAAAATGCGCCTGCCTGAAATTGGCAAATAGTTTCGATTGCAAATAGGCAAACTAAACTCCCGGCAATTAATGATACTTCAGGACAATCGCAATAAGAGAAATTGGTGCTTAAAGTACATTATTCTTTCTCGATTGCTTTAACATATACGATATCTTGCACTGTTTCTTTCTTTCAACAATTGCCAGATATCGTACGTTGTAAAAAATAAATTTTGTGAGAAGCGTCTTTGATATTTCAAGATTTTACATGTATCTGTATTATATAAATTTTTATAATCTTTTAATAACGTTCTCTTCAGTAGTAATGGATGAAAAAAAACGATGCATCTGCAGTTGATTAAAGCATTTCTCCGCATAATATTGCTGCAATTATTATGCACAATATCCGACGATGAGTTTATTTCTTTTTTTTAATGGCTGCGTTTTTTACAGACACGTTTCGTTACAAATTGTCTAATATCGACCTGGAATTTCTTTTCATAGGAGAAGAGATCGATCGACCTGAAAGGCGACGGGATGAATTCATTGCGCGCGGATGTAAAAAGCAAGGAACAGAATCAGCTCTTTTTGCATGCTTTTGCATAGAGTATTCATTTTTTCCACATGAATCGGGCTCAAATACGTCGATGTATTTGTGTTAATAAGCAACGCTGGTTGTATCACATTTACAGACCGTACCAACTCGGAAAATTCTCTTGGAAAAACGGAGACTTCTTCAGCATTAATTTCATGCTTGTAGCAAATTTTTTGCGTTATTGCGTTATATTAATTCTTATAGATATATGTATGTTGCGTTATGATTTTGCAACAGAATATTACAAGACTATTATATTTACAAATGAATATATACTTGAGACTAATTTTTATTATTTATTGTAAAATATGAATGTAAAGTTAAGATAAATAATGAGATCTTTACGTCATGGCTGTATTTACATTCCTCAATTTTTTAAAATACATATTATATTTTTTAAATAGTACAATAATGCTTAAGATTTTTAATAAATTTATTAGTAATTTACAATCTTCTTCAGTCAATTTTCATTCTACGTGTCCCGATGCGTTATCATTAACGAAAAAAATATTCTAATAAGTTCTGCTGAATAAATTAATTATGTTTTTAATTACCAACAAATATTTCAAATAGATTAATGTCGCACGCTTATGAATTTTAATTTTGACAGATTTATAAATTAAACGAGCGAAAGAGAACAGAAACGAAATGAACGAACAAAATAATTATTTTTCAGGGGCTCCTGAAGGCAAACTGTGGGGTAACATACCAGGTGGTCCGCTGCCACCAGAACAACCACTGCTGCCAACAACTACAACGACGATGACGACGACGACGACATATAGGCCTTGGAGGACGAGGCCCACCAGGCCCAATCACTATCCGGACGACGGCAGGCCTCGACAACCAGGTCGTTACCCACAGAAACCCGACTATCGGCCGCATAAACCCCATCGACATCACACGACATGGTTAACGACGACGACGACAACGACAACGATGAGGCCCACGCCGAGGTTTAGACATCGGTGGACTCCTCCACAACGGGACGACGTGCCCGACAAGTGCGATACGAGCTACGACGCCATCAGCATCATCCGTAGAGAAGTTTTCATCTTCAAAGGACGAGTAAGCAACCAAATTAAAAAAAAAAAGAGAATAATAAAAAATTATAAAAAAACTTGCTGTATCTCAAAATGATATGATAATGAGTCTTTTAGGCATTATATTACAGTATGCGCAAAAAAAAGAATGCGACTCTCACAACTAATTTCAGTTGTCGATTTAGTTAAATAAAATGAGTGGACGGGGGCAAATTTGATTATAACACAAATATTTTGTCCTTCTACCAAATATTTATTCGATATGATTTCCTTTAATTGCAATCACTGCGTTACTATGTCACACTCAGCAAACATAATAGTGATTAAAAGAGAGTCGCATTTTTTTTTGGCGCATACTGTATTTCGCTTTATCACAAGGAAAAGAATCTCGATATCTACTTTCTAAGAGTAAAAGAATGAGCCGTGAGCCGTCTAGTATTTTATATCTTATCTTTTTGATTTTCGATAAGCATAAAATAAAATAATTCACGATATTTGTATATTTACATTGTCAATATTTAAAATCAAGATATTACGTTTAAAGTAATTAATTAGATACATGTACATTTAAGATTTTTGTATTTTAGAATTTAAATTATACGTGCGATGTATTTTCTTATAATTTCTGAGGAATATAAATAACTAATAAAGTTGAAATCTGTATACTAAGGAACTTTCTTTACTTGAATCCGCATTGCAGTATCTATGGCGAATAGGCGATCAGGGGATCTATGAAGGATATCCGGCAGAGATCACGAGGTTATTCAATCTGCCATCGGGCATCGATCATGTAGACGCCGTGTATGAGCGACCGGATAAGAAAATAGTCTTCTTCATTGGTCGCGAGTACTACGTCTTCAATGCCAACAATCTGGAACCGAGTTATCCAAAACCACTTACATATCTAGGATTGCCAGCTTCCTTGGAGAAGATTGACGGCGCTATGGTGTGGGGCCACAACGGCAGGACTTACTTCTTCAGCGGCTCCATGTATTGGAGGTGAGATTTCTCAAGTAGAATTTGTACTCTCTCACTTATTATTGCTTAGAGTTCATTATAATTCTAGAGTTATTAATTTCGGTACAACAATTTTTGTCTGATATTAAATGAAAAATAATCTGAACTGAAATGCGTTCCATATCTCTTCGGACATATAATGAAATTTGTGCACTTATAATCCGATTCATGTTGGACTCCTACTCTTTTTTAATCCATAAATAAAATTTAATTCTCCAATTTAATCTTCTGCTCCGCAGGTTCGATGAATCTGTTAATTATGTGGAACTCGATTATCCCAGAGATATGAGCATGTTCGCCGGCGTTGGCAATGACATCGATGCCGTTTTCCAATGGAAAAATGGTAAATTTCAAAACTGACATTCACGAAAAAAATAACTTTATTATAAATACAGTTACTTAAATATTTATTTTATTCAGACAATTTATTATATATATTTATACTATATGAATAAATTTAAATTACTTTTAACGCCAAGTATAATACATTTTTAATATAGAAATCTATATATTTTCAACATAAGAGAGATAATAAGCAACTATATATAGTTTCTTAATATTTCACACAACTTTTATTTCAATTCTTGATTTTTCTAACGTTTTATAAATAATTCTCTATGTGTAACTTTGTCTGTCGACTTTCTATCATAATGCTTTTTTTTCGATAGGCAAGACGTACTTCTTTAAAGGCAAGGGTTTCTGGGAGTTTGACGATCTCAGAATGAGGGTTGCGCACGAGAAACAAAAATTGTCGGCGCCGGTCTGGATGGGTTGTTCGCCACCGGAAGTGGAGACTAACGACATCGAGACTAACCTGCCTAGGAAGTCGAGCATTGTCTCGGAAGCCGCCACGGGAGAAATCATGTCGATATTTGCCATAGTCGTAGCGAGTTTCGTCATGAGGATAATGTACGTGTAAAAATAGAGGTAATTATTTATATATTGCTATTGTATTCATTAATTTTTAAAGAGTAGTATAATTAAAGAAGAAACTTTAAAAGATATTTCTAACATGAATAATATTGATTAGTATTAAATAGATATTAATTCAGAATTTAAGATGTCATGAAATATGTAATCATTATAAAATGAAAGTTATACCTATAATGTTATGCAGTTAGTATAAAAATAATTAATGAGATAGAATTTAATATACAATTTTTTAAATAATTTAAAACTGAGCCGAGTATATCATTTTTAACTTCATTTATATATAATTATGTATAAATGGAATTATATATTATTCCATTTATAAAATTTTATAAAATTTCACATGGTCCGAGTAAACATTAGTAAAATTTTAAATGCGTTTAAATCAAGCATTTAAAAGTCAGAGAACAGCTGCTGTCATGTTTTTTTTTGTCTTCTTGTGCTTTCAGATTATATATAACGTACATGTCCCTTCCAGCTGATGATGTGCAACGAAGAGATTTTACCTCGTATATGGGAATTTCTCGTGCGAAATACGAATACCAGAAAGTCAACCGGATTCTTAAAGCGCGGACGTCGACAGATCGACTAACACCGGAGATGGAAGACCAACTGTTCGTATATATCGGTTGGAGTTTCAAAGGAATGCCTGCGGCACGGATGGATCATAGCTATCGGAATCGATCTCGTCGTTGAGTCTTCCGATGGAGAAATCGCGATAGCAGTACAAACGAAGCTCCAAGAATGATATCGAACTAAGTCACGAAGCTACATTTTCATAGAAGATATATGAAATGGCAACGAATTATAACATTTTTAAATATATGATATTACGAGGAAAAATTTTTTCTGTATATCTTTTACTTATTTTTTTACGTCGATAATAAAATTGACATTTAATTTTCTTTTACAAAAAATCTGTGACTTAGGTCCATATCATCAATCCTGGAATAGACCGCGCCATCACGCTGCGCAGGAGCATATTTTTGTATACTGCATTTTACACGACCGCATTTACATACAAAGTAATTAACTTAAGACGTAACTTTTTTATATCACATAACGGATGAGCGACGGGTCCTCGAAGATGCGAAAGGAAACGAGATTCCTTTGAGAGTATTTTACAGACAATTTTGCGATAATTTACGAACAATTTATGAACTATCACTGCCGAAAATCCATCCAACGTTTTTCGATACTCTTTTTATAGATTTATAAATCGAGATAGGGATCCTCAGTCATACACTGAAAAAAAATTTGCAGATTTTAAATAAATATTTACTTCAAGTACTAACGAAATATTTATTTATAGTAAATAAATATTTATTCAAAATAAAACAGTTATGTAAATCGAATAAATATAAGTTTACATTTAGTAAATATTTCGTTAGTATTATTGGAGTAAATATTTATTTAAAATCTACAAGTTTTTTTTCTGTGTATATATCCCTCTCAAGGACCAAAAAATTCCGTGATCGTCCTTTTATAAATCGTGACGCGCTTATTAGTTGGACTGTCGAATCGACAATCTCAAAACGATAAAATTAGTCGATTCTGACAAAGCACATTTTATATAAATATTGTATTAATTATTGATACCATATAATTTAGCAAAAGAGGACACGGGCAAAACGCAGTGTCACCAGTTTTGTAAACTGTGATATTTATATACCGCGCGCGATTAACTAGTTAGTGTAATATCAAGGAAGTAGAACAGAATTATATATATATATATAATTTCGCAGATTTATATACAGCGCTGGTGTATCTAAGATATTTGCATAAACTTTGCGAGCGTGCATCCTGATTTTTTTAAGTTGATTTCTTCCCAGAATGAGATTTTTAAGCGAATAGAGATCTCAAAAGTGAAAATAAATAACGAAATCTCACTCCACATTTAATCTTGATGTGGATCTCAGTTTCGACAGAATTTTATAAATACTAAAGCTTCAGTAACTAAAAGAATTTAAATAATAAAAAATTGTAAGTAGAAGGTGATTGCTAATTAAATTTTTGTAAAGAAATTGACTGCAATTTTAATATCGCGTATCGCGAATTTCCTTTGTGAAGTTTGTAATATTTGTATTCCCAACATACACCTCTGTATATATATATATATATATATATATATATATGAACATGTTATATATAATTATATAATAGTATATAAGTCGCGCGTATTGCAAATGTACTATATGTCCGTGAAGCGCGCAGCATCAAAACGAAGACAGACGATATAAATGATATTGTATTTGTTTTTTTCGATTAACTCGACGATCTTGAGTATATCTTTGTTACAGAGAAGCAAACGCATTGAAGTGTGTCTCGCAAGTTCTACTACGAGGCGAAAACTCCAATCCTGTTTATTCCAAACAAAAAAGAAAAAATTAATGTAATGTGGCGATTATATGCTCTATACGTATTTTATATATTGTCAGTTCGTGCTTTATTTGTGTATATATAAAAATAAAGTGATTTTACCGAACACATTCAACTCAACATGCTGTAGAAAATTTCCAGTATAGCTTTATGTACGCATTATTGAAAAATACCAAGTTGAAAGCAGAAACATTTTGTATATTTGTCATTTATATATATATATATATATATTGTTCATATATTTAACAAAAGCATTGTACATTTCAGCGGATCAACTTTAGGATATGTCAACAGAATTTTTTTCCTTCTTTTTACAGCATTTTTATACATTACACTACGTCAACTGGACAGATAAAATATGATTATTTCGTTTGTTCCTCATGGTTGATTTATTCCAGGTTGAGCAAAGGATATGACGACTATGATGCGTTCAAATTCAAATTTCGCTATTTGCGTAGCTTAGGTTCTAACTAACAATTATTTCACGATGACGTGATGGTTCATTCTACAAGAGCAAAAGAATAAAATTCTCGATGAACAACATAATTTAACAAAAAAATTATAGATATTTTCACTGATAAACTGAAACTCTTGATTATATAATCCATATGCGGCCCAACAGATTGGGGCTTTAGGCTCGTCCCAATTTTTTGTTAGAGATAAGCGACATTGGCGTATATCTTATTAAGCGTATGTTCGAATCGCACCATAGCGCGTCTTTGAAAATTTCTTTGGAAATCGCGCTCTCGACGTGACAGAGCTTCATCGATATTCGCGAGGTCGTCGACGAGGCTCGCACGAGGAGGCCGATCTCAGCCGCTGCTAGGGACACAAATCCGACTGATCCATCCAAGGATTCAAGGCTCGCAGAGTGAACCGCACGATCGTGTCTACCTCAGCCATTGCGCCCATGCCCACGTCGCCACACATCAATGTCTTGGATACGCAGTGCACTTCTTTATAGCCCCAGGATTTGAGCAGCGATACCTGGAAAAAAAAATCTATGAGTTTTTATTTAAAAAAAAAAAAAAGAAAAAAAGAAAATTATACATAGAAGACAGAACAAATTTAATTATGTTTATTGTTAATCACTGTTTTCTACATCTGTTTACTAAAACTTTTTAAATACTTTTATTTTAATAAAATTTTTAGTTTTCAAGAAATTTCATGTAAATCTGCAAAAATTAAACTTAATTCAATTTAAATAAATAGTAAAATTAATATAAAAAGAATCATGTGTTTTATCTATTTAGCTATTTAAAAGAATATTTTTGACACTGTTCTTCTCTTAGTTTGATTTTTAATATGATATTCTTTTCATCTTACTTGAGGCATTGTAACTGGATGCTCCCACATCCTGGTGTTCATGGCTGGGCAGAAGAGGAGTGGCTTTGAAGGATCCCATGCGCGTGCCACGCAGGTAACAATATTGTCGCATATGCCACTGGCAATCTTGCCCAAGGTGTTAGCATCCAACGGCGCTATCACGAATACATCCGCCCATTTCACCAGATCTATGTGCAGCACCGGATCACCACGATCCTGCCAGGCAGCCCACTCCACTGTATCGGATAAGACCTGGATGTCGGATGGCAGCTGAGCATCCTTTAGGAAGTGTTTGGCTCTCTCCGTCACAACCACTCTCACCTCCAGATTATTCTGTCGCAGCATTTCCACCAGCTGGGGCAGCTTGATCGTGGCTACACTACCAGTGCAACCTACCAATACTCTTTTCCTTGAGGAACTCGCCATTTTCTTTACCTTTGCGTTACCTTCTGTTCTATATCAGTCTATATGAAGCCTGATAGACTCTCAGTTTTCAATGTAATAAATATTGGAACTCTCTATTTATTTAAGGGATATTTATTCTCTTAGGCCACTTGGGTTGCAACACAATCCAGCCGCATAACAAGCTATAAGAATGCCTTTACGTTAAAGCTCAAGAAGTCCGATCCAATGAGTACCGGGTGATGTAACCGAACTTTTAATTTTCTTTCCTATGAAAATAAAAGGTGGATACACAGGTTTTTAATATTGTTCAGTTTCTCTCTCTCTCTCTCTCTCTCTCTCTCTCTTGGTCTTTTTTTTAAATCTATTGTCCTTATTGTTACTTTTTCTCAACACTGAGAGGAAGTCCTTGTTATACCTGGCTGGCAGTGCGTATAATTGAACACACTGAATCACTGAATTATCATTATGGCATCTTATTTACATCGACAGTTCCAAGAACACCAGGCAGTCTCGAAGAGACTTAAGATGACAACAATGACAACGACAACGACAAGGATATGACCCCTCCTTTCTAGGAGACAGGGAGTAGGTATCTGCTATCTCGTGGACGATATCGACGTTACGTTTCCTTGGCACCCTTGATCTCATCAGTGAAGCCGAGCTTGGACCAATCCTCGCGCGCCATCAGGTCGTGGTCCATGCGGCAGCCGAGGTACTCCTTGGCGATATCGCGACACATCGTGTTCTGATTGCGATTTTCGGACAGGCAGCGCATGTACCTGATCATAGTGCTCTTGCAACGGCCTTCATGGTCCAGTGGGAAGCTGCCGCGCTCCGGCGGCGTTGGCGTGAATAGCCTCTGCGAGAACGTGTACGAGGACATACTACGCCACTTCACGGACGCGCTGAAATCATACGAGAATGCGCGAACACCTCATACGATGAACACTTAGAACGAGTAAGGTCTCTTCAGCCTCCACGGCGGTTCGCCATCTTGGCTAACTGTGATCCACAACGATCTACACTTCTCCGTCGCACCTTCCCTCCCCCGCCTAACCAAATTCATCGACGAACGGTCCCTGCCGTCCCTGGAGAACGAGAGGATTTTCAGCGCCACCTGTCTCCTCTGGCCTTTGAAGTGGAGAACTAAACGCGACCCACGTGATAAGAATGTGAGATTTGCGCTAACTTTGAATCTGCGTTTAAACAAAGTCGAAACGTTCGTATTAATAAAGAAATAATATCGCTAGAATGTTTTTATATCCTATGGCACTTCTTTTTGTGACTATTGAAAGCGAAGCTTTTTCCATAGCAATATATACTCAAGCATCATGCCAATGCTTATCGCATAATCACGCATATCACGCATAGTCATGTGATTCATAAGTATGAAACGCAGGGGCGAAACCAGACATTTGTTAAGGGGAGAGGGGCATTGACGCGCCGCAAGCAAAATTTTTTCAAGATTAAATATAAAATATGAGATATTTAAGTTACAATTGGCATATTACATTGAAAAGTACTATATAATTATATAATCCAGGAAACGTTTTATTTAAAATTATGAACATAAAAAGAATAATATAATTTATAATATATAAGGTAATAAAATATACATATAACATTTTATAGCAAAATATCTAATTTACGTTTGTTATTTGTAGCGCGAACAAGTGGAAAAAAAAGCTGTAGTTGAAAAGATTCAACATATTTTAAATTTTTTAATCGATATATTAATTTTACGTTCAAATTACCCCGCACAGACGTATGCAACAAATGCTATGAGAGTTCGTTCGATCAACAGCAATCTTTAGATATTTTGAATCATAAACAAGAGGTTAAAGAATATCAAAACTTAAAAAAATCATTAACAGAAGATGGTGTTCTAGTTTGTGAATTTGACTATGCGCAAAATCTTTCATTGCCGAAAATTCCTGTTTCTGAACAATTTTATAAAAGATTGCTTTGGTTATATTTATTTAGTGTTCATGTATTTAATACGACAAACAGCTTATGAAATTATACTGACTCGAACGGAGCTAGAAGGATCTTTACTTCGACTAAGGAGGTGGAGTTCTCTATCAATTCTAACCAATAGCGTGAGACTTTTCGAGTACCAAAAATATACGTGAAAGGGATAAAGGAAACTAAGGAATGTGTCGATGACTCAAGAATCTGTTTAGACATAAAATATTTGTAAGACTGAGTTTCAAAAGGGTCTTTAGAGTAGATAAAAAAAAAGGGTTAAAAGAAAAACGATAGGTGAAGCAAATAAGATGAACAACCGGAAATAAGGTTGTCAGAAATGTTTAGGAAAATATGTGTAGAAAACTTTATGTTAAAAACGTAACTCAACAATAGTTATGTGACATGTAATAGTACATGACGTCTGTGACCAATAATCATCATCGACGTGACTATCACGTGACGTTGCTACCTGGGAATAACCGTTTCATACTTATAAATCACGTGACTATGCGCGATATGCATAATTATGCGATAAACATTGGCATGATGCTTGAGTATATATTTACTACGGAAAAAGCTTCGCTTTCAATAGTCAAGATATAAAAACATTCTAGCGATATTCAGAAAACCATAATTTATTTCATAACATAACATGTCTTTCAAAAATTTGAAAGTAGAGCATCTAGAAGATCAATTGACGATTACTTTATCGAAATTGTATCCGATGCGCAAGTTCGGTTTAGTTAAGATCGGGGAGAAGAAGTGGTTTTTGTCAAATAAATACATTGAAAACGGTGACAAAATATATAGTTTTGAAATTCGTCCAGATGATACATGGATTGTTACTTATCCTCGATCAGGTCAGTTATCTTCGCCTTAATATAAGACATAAAAACATCATTTTTGACAATGTTAAATTTTATTTGTTTTTAAAAGAAATATTTTATTTTTTAGTCATATATATTAATTTTAGTTCTTGTTTTAACTTTAACTTCTTAGCAAACAGAGAATATAATTACAATATAATATACAGAAGTAACATGTGATATAACATATGTTTTATTTAATTAGTTTCAGAGATATTAAAGGAATTTTCTTCGGAGATGCCAAAGAGTTCGCGAGTTATCGCCATGTCGTGACTCATTGTCAACGTTTCGTGCTGAATTAGTGCGCTCCTCGCCCTGATGAAATGAACGGCAAGTTTCACGAAACGTGGACATTAGCAACCCTAAAGAAAAAGTATCCCAATAAACTGCTCAGTAACTGATGAAATATCATAAGTTACTAATTAGTTAATCAATTTATTGGAACAATTTTTCTTAAAGGAATTGTCCACGACACGCAAACTCTTTGACATCTCCGAAGAAAATATCCGTAAAAGTTTCAAAAATATTACTTCCATATTACATAATACGTTTTAAACTTCTTTATTAAAATCATATCCCATTACCAAACGGATGCAGCGGAGTTCGGAGTATTTTTCGTAAATAAAAACCATATAGAATAAAATAAAATAAAAAGATGTGATATTGAAGTTTGGAGCGTTTGTGGAGCGAAAATTAAATGTAAGCTCACACTGAAATAACCGACAATTGGGGCGTCAAGTGGCTCACCGCTCAGTGCGATTGACTCGCGATCTGTGATCCGGGTTCGATCCCACCTGCGCCCTATATACACGATTTTTCGCGTTCGCCGTTCGGATTCGGTGTTAAACTGTAGGCCCCCTTGAGTGTTAGCAAATTCTGTAGAGTCAAATTCCACTACTACTAGATTGAAAAACATAAGCAAGTCCCTGCCCCCGAAGGGGCTACAGAGCTAGAATTGATACGCATGGTATTGTGACCCACGAATAGGGTCAGAAAACCATACAGGGAATTTTGAAGAAGAAATAACAGACAGTTGACGATCACACATATATACATATGTGACCGAAAATTTCCAACGTATGTATGTTTAGGCGTTTTAAATGAGATCGCGGTCCCGCAAGGGCACTGAATTATTAAGAAATTCCGCGCGTGCTCCCGTACGTGCGATCAAAAATTTCCTACGTTCGTCCCTGCGTTCGGTGATAAAATCTAAAAGCACGAGAGCACACACAATGTCTGAGATCACTGACGATCGGCATTTAGGCTGCGCGGGTTGATGAAGTAAGGGGCAGGAACCAAGCTGAAAATCGGCCGAAATGTGCAACTAAATTCCAGCTCTGATTATAACAAAGATCAGAAATCGCTACAATACATAAATCTCTAAAAAAAACGACGCTATTACATCACTTGATAATATAAATATATAGAAACGTAACATCTTGAACATAAATCTGTTTTTATAGCTAAACTAGTGTGCACTTTTTGTACTGAAAATGAAATGGTTTGATATTTAGCAAAGAGAGAAGAACAACCTTAATGCAACAATAAAAAAAACAAATCTCACAAAATTATAAAACTAAAAAAATGTTAAACAATTGATATACAAGCACAATTCACTTCAGAACTTGTCAGAGAATTAAATGTTGATCGTACAACAGATATTAAACGTTTACGTGATATGTTGATTAAATAATTAGTTTTTGAGAAAAAAAATCCTCAAAACTAAATCACACTCCTAATATATATTAAATACGCTCATTTATCAAAAAATAAGGTGTGAATATATATGGACCTTAAACTATACACAGAAGTAACAGAAAACATCATGATTTCAAAATTCACGAAATTAAAATATTCAATATCGATGTTAACAAAATATAAATGTTAACAAAATATTAATAAATTCATATATTGTGTTGATTAGGTACAACTGTGATGCAGGAACTCGTATGGTTGGTGGCGAACGACATGAATTTTGACGAAGCGCAACGAAGGACTTTAATGGACAGATTTCCCTATATAGAGTATATTTTACATAAATATTATAGAAAGAAATAAAATTCGCATTTTCTAGATTCATAATACAATGGAAAATAAATTTTCACTTGACTTTCAATGAAATTTTTGCGTCAAATTTGCGTTTAAAACTTTAAAAATTCAATTTGCCATGCAAATCTTGAATACAACTTTGATATGTACATACTTCGAATTTGATGGAAAATACAGAAAAAAAAGTCGAATGTTCATTTTGTACTGTTTTCACATAAAGTTAAAAAATCATTGTTACTTTCTATTTCAGAAAACACTCTACTACATAAAAACATTTTTTCTTTGTTTTAGCATGGAAACATTTCATGGAAACATGCAAGATAGTCATATAATTTCAACCACCATTTCTAATGAAGAAAAGAAAAATATAAATAAGTATACCATCAAATTCGTGCAAAATCAATTGTCGCCGCGTTTTATTAAAAGTCACATGCCTTTCAATCTATTGCCAACAGTCGTAAACAGCGATTGCAAGGTATTTACAACTAAATATTATATTTTCTAAATTAAATATACATTTATTTATAATTATTTACAAAACATACTACATTTATGAAAACGGAAAAATATATCAAATCAAAGTAAATAATTCATTTGAAATTATCACTAAAATTCATTAAAAAAAAACTTATATTAAAAGATTTATTATAAAAATTGGATTTAACACGTTTATAACATCGGACATTTTGTGTATTAATTACTGGATTCAATCTATTTGAAATGGTATATTTAATAGCAAAATATTTGTACATATTAATTTAGGTGTTAAAAAAACGAGATTTATACACTTTTCAAAAATATTGTTTTTATTTTTAGATCATCTATGTCGCTCGAAATCCAAAAGACGTAGTAGTCTCATGGTATAATTTCCAAAAAAATCACAAATTTGTCCAGTACCGAGGAACTTTCGAACAATTTTGTAATAATTTCATGAATGATCACGGTAAATTTTGCTAGTTCTTGATAGTTTTTTAAATTTCAACTTTTGCTTATACTTCTCATTATTTCAGTCGACTATAGTCCATACTGGGAACATGTAAAGGAAGCTTGGGCAATGAGGCATAAAACAAACTTGTTGTTCCTCTTCTACGAAGATTTGATAAAAGTGAATAAAAACTCTAGTATTATATAATATCCTAAAAAATTCCCACTATTCTTACATAAATATCGTAAAAGATTTAAAATACATATTAAAAAACATCAATTTTAAGATATTATAATTAGAGATAACATTTCCATCTATATTGTGTAGGATTTGCCTGGAATCATCAAGAAGGTCGCCGTGTTTTTCGGTAAGACTTATAGCGATGAGCAGATCGCCAAGTTAGTAGAGCATTTGAAGATAGAGAACTTTCGGAAAAATCCCATGGTAAATTATCCGGATTTTAAATCGACGATCGAACCCAAAGAGTTTATTCGGAAAGGAAAAGTAAATGATTGGGAAGAAGTATTCACATCAAAAATAGAGGAAAAATTTAACAAGTGGATCGCTGATAATTTAAAAGATACGGATCTAACGTTTCCAAACTAATTTTATAATTATAATTGTTTATTAAATTTTGTTACAGATTGAAAAATCTAAGCTTTTAAGAAATGGCAAAATTTCTTTTAATGATAAAAATGAATTGAAAGAAATTTTGCCATTTTCTCTTTAAAAGTTTAAATTAATTACTCATTTATAACAAAATTCAATAAAGAACCACATATCTTTTACAATTATTTTTATAGATCAAATAAGGCTAATATAAACTGAAAATAATGAGAATTGAAGCTAATAGATTGAGCAGCATTTTAATTAATACAAATTATTTCACTGTCTGCATTATTTATGTTACGTTTTCGCATGTGTAATGTACGTCCCTTATATAAGTTTCGTGATTTTATCGATTTGGTTAAATAAGCCCACTAACGCAAACGAATATAGCTTATATGTTATTACAGGTTTAAGTATTTATATTGTATGTACTTCGACAATTACATATGATATATAAAGATTCTAAAGGTTGTATAATTACTTTCTGTTTTTTTTTATCTTATTTTTTCCAATCCTATTAAACCTCGCCCCAACATATTTGTCAAATTTTACAATTTAAATCAAATAGAAAAATCTTCCTACACACAAGGATGAGTTCAGGATTCATTCTTTTTTTAAAACCGATTAATTTTTATGAAGAACTCGGTAGATGTGCTTACTAATTGAAATAAGTATTAATAATGGCAAATATGTATTGATTATGTATCTCCATAAAAAATTTAATATAACAATAAATATTTAATTCAAGCAAAATTTAAGTCATATATATATATATACATACATAATATATATATAGTTTCTATTAAAATATATTGCATCTTAAAATTTGTACTTATATTAATAATGAAAAAAGGATATCTACTCGACAGATAAAGGATCTATAGATTTGTAGTCATACTTCTCGTGAATTTTGTTTATTCTTATCTACAAAGCATTATCTCGAATGCATCACATGTTACAACAATATAATCGACTTAGAAAATATATTTCAACCCTAAGATAACGGAAGGCAAGATAACAGCAGGCCACGATATTTTCGTAAATCAACTTCAAATGTGTTCAAGATTTATAATATATTTTAATCTTTTTCTTCCTTTTTTACCTATTAGACGAAGAGTATAATAAAGACTCTCTGACTGGATTATGATAATATCATGTTCGAGGAGAGGTGTGCGTGAATTAATTATCGGAAAACTTCACGTCCAATGTTCCGCTTTTTACCGGCGTGCACTACAGGAACTATTTTTTAAAGCGCGCAAACGCGGAAAATAAATATTAAATAAAGAAATAATTAGTTAATTTGAGTACCTATTATATACAAACATTACATATTCGCCACAAATATTATAAAATTAGATATTAAAGCTGGAAAACGAATGTATGTTCCCTTCAAATATATATGTATATAAACACATGTAACAATAAATTATCTTTATTTCGATATATCGATATATATGTAGTTCCATTTTTTTCAAATTCCAATTAAATAAAATAAAAAATAATGTCTGACGTAATTAAATTAATAAAAAATCTATTATAATTTATAAATTAAATTTCTGTAATATTAATATTATGTGGCGATAAATTACGCTAAAAATAAGTTACTAAATCTACTGTAGTCAACTAGAAGAAAATTATCTAAGGAGATAATTATACATTGGCGAAACTTTTATAGAGGAAGACCTGATTAAATCGCAATTTGGAGGGAACATAAATCTTTATGTTTTTTGGATGTACCCGTTTTACGCGAGAAGACTTATGCTCGGATTTAAGATCCAATTGAAAAATCTGGCATACAAAAATATACTCTGTAAAATCTAACAGATCTTTTTACAACTATGGGACACTTGGTAAGCAAACGAAACAAGGTTATGGACATAATATTAAAATGTTTCGGCGTCGTCACAGTCGCGCGTGTCGTGTCCGAACATTTCGCAGTTTTCACAGTATGGCCTCTCCACGGATTGCTTCTTCGGAGTTTTTACCGTTTTCTCGGCGCTCTCCATGAAATCCTGGGCTTGTCGGGGACAGTCTTCCGTCTCGTGCAAATCGAATTGATCGCAAATATCACAGAACATACGGGGCGCCGCCATTCGTTTGTCCAGCGTGCTTCGAGTGTAGTCCTCGGCCTCGTTCGCGGGGACCCCCATCTCGAGAACCTCGATTTTACACAGCAAACTCTCGTTCTTACGTTGCATGTCGACTATTATGGAATTTAGGAAGTCTATTTGGCTCTTTGCGGTGTCGTTCTCCTCTTGCAGTTTCACAACGTCGATATCTCTCGCGACGATGTGCTGCTTTGTGTCGCCCGTCCCGTCATACGTGTTCTTCAGATTTTCGTGCGACAGCTTTAACTGATTCGTCATCTCCATCCATTTCGCAGTGACTTGCTTGTTCTCTTTCTCTAGCCGATTTAGCTCATCCAGAAGTCGCTTCTCTTCCACCTTGGCAACATTCAGCTTCTCCTGCAAGTTTTGCACGTTTTTGTTCACCTCTTTTTCATTGTTCTCTATGGTTTTCGCCAGATCGGCTGACTTCGTTTCCTGTTCTTTTAACTGCTTCTCAAGTGTGTTTACCATGTGCTGCAACTCATAGATTCGCTTGTTCGCGCCGCTCAACTCATTCTGCTTCAACTTGATCTCCTCATTCCGTGACTGTTGTTCCGCTTTGACTCTTTCCACTTGCGCGTCTTCCAGAACTTTCACCTGCACCTTTAATTTACCGATAATAACTTCTTTATCATCTAAATTAGTTTTGTGCTTATCGACAGTGTCTTGCATCAATCGCAACTTGTCCTCCAATTCTTTATTTTGCTTATTTATGTCTTCAATCTTCTTCTGCTTAGCTACAACTTCGGACTCTAACGAGTTCCGCAGTTTCAGCATTTCTTCCTCCTTAGAAGATTCTGATTCTTTTACCTTAACTTCTGCTTCTGTTCGTAACTTCTCTTTTTTATTCAGCTCTTCGTGCAAATTCGATAACTGAGTCTCCAGTGACTTCACTAAGTTCTCCAAAATAGTTTTCATCTCGAACAATTCATTTATTTCACTTTGTTTCTGTGTGATCGCCTCTTGTGCGTTCTTCAGTTCATCGTTATTACGAGTATGCTCTTCTTTCATTAAAGAGATTGTAGTATTCAATTCGGCTATTTGAACTTGCGATTTTTCTGCTTCCGCCATCGTCTTTGATATTTCGTCAATTTTATCTTTAATCGTTCCTTCGGCGTCCTTCAATTTGCTCTTCAACTCTTCTACCATACTTGTCGTTGTATTTAAAGACGTTGTTAAATTTTTATGAGTAGTTGCTTTATCGTTAACTAAGGCATCATACATTTTCCGTAATTCCGACAATTTATTTTCCACTTCCTGAAGCTTTGAATCTTTCTCCTGAAGTAAATTCTCTAATTTTGAAGTTTCGTCCGACTTGGATTTCAATTTCTCCGTCAATTCCTCGATCGACCAACGATTCGCGCTTTGATTGGCCTCTAGTTTGCTCTTACACTTTTGCAAATCTTTAATGTCGTCACGCGAAGTCGACAATTCGGTCGACAAATCCATAATTTTTTTCTGTAACAAGGATATCTCTTCTTGGTAAGAATTTCGCAGGATTTCGCATTCTCCACGAAGACTGACGATTTCTTCATCCTTCATTGTCAATTGCTCCGTAAGGTTGGTGACTTGGTTATATTTTTCCTTCAAATCTTTCTTTGCGCATTCGCCTTCTTCCATCTTTAACGATAATTCACTTTTTTCTTGTTCATATCCGCGTATCTTCTCAACATAATCTGCATTTAATTTTTCAGCCTTATCTATCTGCGACTCCAAATTTGATTTCTCTGAGCGTAATTGTTCAATTAACGTCGTATTATTATTTAGCTCCGTCTCGGTATTGGAGAGTTTTCCCTCCGTTTGTTTCAGCGCAGTTTCCGTTTGGAATAACTTCTCTCGAGCTTCGTCCAATTCCTTTTCTTTTCTTCGCAAGTCCTCGTTGTATCTCGACAGTTGTTCTGATGAATCGGCGGAAGTGCTAATCGCGCTCGCTATATCGGATTCCTATAATTATATTTAGATCATTAATCCAATGGATTAGTAACTTATTATTCATGAGAAGATTAGTAACTAATTATTCTATACTAACCAGTTTTTCTTTCTGTAACGAGAGTTGCGATACTTTTTCTTCCGCTCTCGTGACTTGTCCATTTAATTTCTGCACATTTGACTCAAATACGCGAAGTTCGCTCTCCAAATTCGTTTTTGTTTGCTCAGATAATGTGAGGGCGTCTTGCAGTTCTAAAAGATTTAAAACAAGCTACATGTTATGTTTATAATTATTAAACATACGTAATTAATTTTACAAATTTAAATCGAGAACTAAGCGAACTTCAAATCTATCTTTCACGATTCATCTTACCTGTAGTCTTCTCGAGAAGATGTTTAATCTCCTCATCTTTGCTCGCTATAATTGCTTTCAAATCAGCGATATATTTCTCCAGTTTAACGAGCATCATGGCTTTTTGCGCAATATCTGCATTTATCTCATCAATATATTTGACTTTGTCATTAATTTGGGCCTCAAACCGTTTAGTTATCTCTTCTATTTGAGCCACAGTAGCATTTCGCAATTCCGCGAGTTCTTGGTCCTTTACTTTCAATTCCTCGCTCAATTTGTTTAATCGCACGACGGATTCCTCTTCCGAAGCGATTAAACTAGCTAGATCTTGCTCCTAGATTGATCACGTAGCGTGAAAATAACATTACTAACGTTACATTCGTGCGAAACAAAAAAAAGAATACTCTTACCAGTTTTTGCTTCTCATGAATAATCCTGACATTATCATCACTCTTAGATCTATAATCCTGAATTTGTTTTGACAACACACTATTGCTGTCTTCAGCCAATTTAAGCCTCGTATTTAGCTCTGCAAAATATTTGTGATAAAATCAACGAAACCTCAAATCGTAATTTATTTTTAATTGTTACATACTTTATTATTACAT